ACAGAAGGGGACAGGAGGGGGACAGGAGGGGGACAGGAGGGGACAGAAGGGGGACAGGAGGGGGACAGAAGGGGGACAGGAGGGGACAGAAGGGGGACAGGAGGGGACAGGAGGGGGTCCCGCTGTCCCGGACGGCGGGAATATGGGGAGGGGCTGAGGATTGGGAAGAGGAAGAGGAAGGGGAAAGGGAATAAATTGGGGCAGGGGAAGAGAGAGGAGGCGGCTGGGGAAAGGAATGGGAAGGCACTGAGGAAGAGGAAGAGGAAGAGGAAAAGGAAGGGGTTAGGACTTGGCGGGGGGAGGGAGGAAGACGGAGAAGAGGAAGGCCCTGGGCAGGCCACAGGACAGACCCGAGCCACAATCCCCCGTCCCCAGGCGGGTCCAGCCCCGGGCCCCGCTGGGTGCTGCAGCCCCGGCTGCCCCCCTGCACCCTGGCCCAGGCTCTCACCTTCTACCTGGACGTGGCGGCGCCCCCGACGCCGCAGTTCCTGCAGCTCCTGGGCTCGCTGGCGCGGGACCCCGCCGAGCGGGAGCGGCTGCAGCGCCTGGCGCAGGTCAGGGCAACGGGGGGACGGCCCGGAGAGGGGCTGGGGGCTGGGGGGGCTGGGAGATACGGGGGGGCCGGCTCCCCCTCTCTGACCGGGATACTGGGCTGCTGGGATGGCAGCTAACTCGCAGTCGGGATACCGGGCTGCTGACCCCCTCCCTGATCCCGAGATGCTGACCCCCTCCCTGATCCCGGGATGCTGATCCCATCCCTGATCCCGGGACGCTGATCCCGTCCCTGACACCGGGACGCTGCCCCCCTGCCTCACTGGATCCCGGGTGCTGCCCCTCTCCCCGGGCCGGTGCCCGGGACTGGGGATGCCCGGTGCCCGGCGCTGGGGTGCCCGGTGCCCGAGACTGGGGATGCCCGGTGCCCGGCGCTGGCGGTGCCCGGTGCCCGGGACTGGGGATGCCCGGCGCTGGGGTGCCCGGTGCCCGCGCTGGCGGTGCCCGGTGCCCGGCGCTGGGGTGCCCGGTGCCCAGCGCTGGCGGTGCCCGGTACCCGGCGCTGGGGTGCCCGGTGCCCGGCACTGGCGGTGCCCGGTGCCCAGCGCTGGGGTGCCCGGTGCCCGCGCTGGCGGTGCCCGGTGCCCGGCGCTGGGGTGCCCGGTGCCCGAGACTGGGGATGCCCGGTGCCCGGCGCTGGCGGTGCCCGGTGCCCAGCGCTGGGGTGCCCGGTGCCCGGCACTGGCGGTGCCCGGTGCCCAGCGCTGGGGTGCCCGGTGCCCGCGCTGGCGGTGCCCGGTGCCCGGCGCTGGGGTGCCCGCTGTGCCAGCCCGGTGCCCGCAGGACGCGCGGCTGTACGAGGAGTGGAAGTGGTTCCGGTGCCCGACGCTGCCCGAGGTGCTGGCCGAGTTCCCGTCCGTGGCTCTGCCCGCCGCGCTGCTGCTCTCCCAGCTCCCGCTGCTCCAGCCCCGCTACTACTCCATCAGCTCCGCGCCCGGCGCCCACCCGGGCGAGATTCACCTCACCGTGGCCGTGGTCACCTACCACAGCGAGAGTGAGCGGGCCGGGGTGGGCACGGGCGGGGGGCACGGCCGAGGGCACCTTCAGGGGCTCCAGGGCACCTCCAGGGGCTCCAGCACATCCCCAGTGTCCCCAGAACATCTTCGGGTCCCCCCATCCGGGCACAGAGGGGTCCCCATCCCCTGCGGGGGCTCTGTGAGGGGCTGCCTTGGGGCCGGCCCCCCAGCACAGCCCCACCGGCCCCCTCTGGTCCCCACAGACGGGCAGGGCCCGCTCCACTACGGCGTCTGCTCCACGTGGCTGGCGCGGCTGCAGCCGGGGGACACCGTGCCAGCCTTCATCCGGGGGTGAGGCATCGCTGTCCTGCCGCGTGTCCCCATACCTGCCATCCCTGTCCCCTGCCTGCCATCCCTGTCCCTGCCATCCCTGTTCCATCCCTGTCCCCTGCCTGCCCTCCCTGTCCCCTGCCTGCCATCCCTGTCTCTGCCCTCCCTGTTCCCATCCCTGTCCCCACCCTGCCCTCCCTGTCCCCTGCCCGCCATCCCTGTCCCCACCCTGCCCTCCCTGTCCCCTGCATGTCCCATCCTACCCCCCCCGCTCCCAGCCCACCCCCCGCCCCATTTCCCGCCCCCCCGGCCGGGTCTGGCCCGAGCCCCCCCGGTGACCCCCGGCTCCCGCAGGGCCCCCTCGTTCCGGCTGCCGCCCGCCCCCGACACCCCCTGCATCCTCGTGGGGCCCGGCACCGGCGTGGCGCCCTTCCGCAGCTTCTGGCAGCACCGGCTGCAGCTCCTGCGCGACGGAGGTGGGACACGGGGACATGGGGGACATGGGGGGGCACAGGGGACATGGGCGGGCACAGGGACACTGGGGACATGGGGGACACGGGGAACACTGGGGACACGGGGCACACAAGGGACAGTAACAGGGGACACGGGCCACACGGGACACATGGGGGACAAAGGGAACACAGGGCACACAGGGGACACGGGGGATGCGAAGGGGACACAGGGGACACGTGGCACACGGGGGACACGGGACACACGGCGGGCTGGGGCAGGGGACAGGGGCCATGGGGGGCCCGGGAGAAGAGGATGGAGAAATAGCGACATGAGAGTGGGGAGCGGGACAGGGACAGGGACCTGGGGATGGGAGGGATGCGGGGATGCGGGGGACATGAGCACAGGGACACGGTGGCACTAGGATGGGGGACAAGAGATGTGGCGACGGTGACGAAAAGGTTGGGGACGTGGGGAAGGGGGAAGGGGATGGGGACCGGGGACACGGGGAAAAGGGGGCTGCGGGGCAGGGCCGAGCGGGGCCGTGGGACACGAGGCCGCTGTCCCCCGCAGGTGGCCCCCTGGGCCCCATGGTGCTGGTGTTCGGGTGCCGCTCCTCCGCCCTGGACCACATCTACCGCGAGGAGATGGAGGAGGCGCGGCGGCAGGGCGCGCTCAGCCGGGTGCTCACCGCCTTCTCCCGGGAGCCCGGCTGCCCCAAGGTAGCGGGGACCGAGGGGGACCGAGGGGGACGGGCCGGGGTGGGCACGGAGCTGGGGACGGGCTGGGATGGGCACGGAGCCGGGGACAAGGACAGGGTGGGCACAGAGCTGGGGACAAGGACAGGGTGGGCACGGAGCCGGGGACAAGGACAGGGTGGGCACAGAGCTGGGGAAAAGGACAGGGTGGGGATGGAAACGGAGGGGACAGGGATTGCTAGGGGACACAACCCCAGAGCTGCAGGTGGCACAGACAAGGACAGGGACAGCACACCGAGGCTCAGGGCGGCGATGGGCACCGGGCACAGGCTGCCACGGTGCCCGCTTGTCCCCAGACGTACGTGCAGGACGTGCTGCGGGCACAGCTGGCGGCCGAGGTGCACCAGGTGCTCTGCCAGCGCGGGGGCCACATGTACGTGTGCGGGGATGTCACCATGGCCACCGAGGTGCTGCAGACCGTGCAGCACATCCTGGCCCAGGAGGGCCACATGACGCTGGGCCAGGCGGGGGACGTCATCAGCGAGCTGAGGGTAAGGGCTGGGACCGGGGGCACCCGGGGGACACCCTGGGGACACACTCGGGGACAAACCCTGGGGACATCCTGGGGACACCCCTGGGGACAAACCCTGGGGACATCCTGGGGACAAACCCTGGGGACAAACCCTGGGGACATCCTGGGGACACACCCTGGGGACACACCCTGGGGACACACCCTGGGGACACACCGGGGACACACCGGGGACACCCTGGGGACAAACCCTGGGGACATCCTGGGGACACCCCTGGGGACACACCCGGGGGACATCCTGGGGACACACCGGGGACACCCCTGAGGACATCCTGGGGACACACCCTGGGGACACACCCTGGGGACACGCCTGGGGACACACCGGGGACACCCTGGGGACAAACCCCGGGGACACCCCTGGGGACACACCCGGGGGACACCCTGGGGACACCCTGGGGACACACCTGGGGACACACCGGGGACACCCCTGGGGACACGCCTGGGGACAAACCCTGGGGACATCCTGGGGACACACCCTGGGGACACGCCCTGGGGACACCCTGGGGACACACCCGGGGACAAACCCTGGGGACACCCTGGGGACACCCCTGGGGACACCCTGGGGACACACCGGGGACACCCCTGGGGACATCCTGGGGACACCCTTGGGGACAAACCCTGGGGACACACCGGGGACACCCCTGGGGACATCCCCTGGGGACACACCGGGGACACCCCTGGGGACATCCTGGGGACACCCCTGGGGACAAACTCTGGGGACAGCCGGCGGGGGTGGCCGGCCCCGGCCTGACGCCTGTCCCGCAGGACAAGAACCGCTACCACGAGGACATCTTCGGGCTGACGTTCCGCACGCAGGAGGTGGCCCTGCGCATCCGCAGCCAGTCCTTCTCCCTGCAGGAGCGGCGCCCGCCGGGGCCCGGCCCCTGAGCACGGGGACGCGGGGACACGGGGGACAGCGGGCCCTGCGGCCGGGCCCCCGCCCGCCACCCCCAGTAAAGGTTTAGTTTTGATACCCCCGGCCCGACACTTCGGCTCCTGCGCTGGCACCGGGGGCAGGGGAGGTGGCACGGGGAGGGACGGGCTTTGTGACACTGCCGGGGGCACCTGGCCACGCTCCAGACACGGGGGTGGGAAACGGGGGCAAAAGGACACGGACTGTGGCTCTGAGGGGTGGGAAACGGGGGAGGGCCATTGTCCTGTGGTTCCCATCTGTGTGGCTGCAGGTGAGTGCACCCCTGCCAGCCCCACTGCTGCCACCTGCCCAGAACCCCCAGTGTCACCCCAAACTGCCCCAGCCCCATCCACGGCATCAATGCCCCCCAGTGTCACCCCAAACTGCCACAGCCCCATCCATGGCATTGCTGCCCCCCAGTGTCACCCCAAACTGCCACAGCCCCATCCACGGCATCGCCCCCCGGGACCCCCAGCCCAGCCCAGGCACAGCCAGCGGGCACAGCCCCTCTGTAAACCTTTATTTCAGCTGGTGCTCGGGGCACCACGGGGGGCACCAGCGCTGTGCCCCCCAAAATCAGCACCTGGGGGGGCCCTGGCAGCACCCCTGGCCCTGCACCGTAGCGGGGGCACCAGGGACGGCCCGAGCAGGGGGCCCCGACAGACGGGGCCCCCCTGGCAGCATAGTGGGCACGGCGAGCCCCCCACTGTGCCCCTGGCGGCTCCCCCGGCACCTCCGGGGGCTCTCGGCACACCCAGGACCCTGCGGAGGGAACGGCGGGTCAGCAGGGACCACGGAGCGGGGACCCCAGGGCGGGGACCCCAGAGCGGAGATCCCGCAGTGGGGTCCCTGGCACTTGGGGACCCCAACACTGAGGACCCCAGAAACTGGGCACCCCGGCACACGTGGCAGCCAGGCCCCACTGAACCCCAGCCCCGGGGGTCCCTGTCCCCCCGCCCCTCCATGTCCCAGGGTTAGGAGTCCCTGTACCCCCAGCCCCGGGGGTCCCTGTGCCCCAGCCCCTCCGTGTCCCAGGCCATGAGTCCCTGTACCCTCAGCCCCGGGGTTTCCATGTCCCATCGCGGGGGTCCCCCCTCCCCCGTGTCCCCACCCACCGGCGCCGGGCCCGGCTACGTCATCGTCTCCGCTTCCTCCTCCTCCTCCTCGTCCTCCTCGGCCCAGCCGCCCAGCGGCATCTCCCGCAGCTGCGAGGCGCGGGCAGCCGAGCCTGGGGGGCACAGGGGGGTCAGGAGCTCAGAGCCCCCTGCCCGGCCCCGGGCTCAGCCCCGTGCTGGGGGCGGCGTGCCAGCAGTGCCCCCCAGCCCCCGGACACCCCCGGGCTCACCTGTGGTCACCAAGGGGTGTTTGGGTGCCCCCGCGGGCTGGGGGCCCTGCGGCTGCTGCTGCTGCTGCTGGTGGAGCTGGGGGGGCCAGGGAAGAGCAGAGAGCCGGGGTGAGCGCTCAGAGCCCCCCCAGAGCCCCCGCACGGCTCTGGAGCCCCCCAGCACAGCACAGCCCCCATATTGCTGTGGAGCCCCCCAGCACAGCACAGCCCCCACGCGGGTCTGGAGCCCCTCACCACAGCACAGCCCCCGTGCTGGCACTGGAGCCCCCCTGGGGCAGCAGGACAGGGGTCCCTCGGCCCGGGACCCTCCCAGCCCCGGAGCGGTGGCACAAGGGGCACCGTGGGTGACACCAGCTGCGGTGTCGCGTCCCAGCACCCTGTCAGGCTGAGAACACAGGGTGGGTGTCACCCAGCGGGCTGGGAGGGTGGGGACAGCCTGGAATGGGGACAAGGGACGGGGGACAAGGGGCCAGGGCCAGGCAGAGCACACAGACAGCGACACTGTGGTGACACAGAGACACCAGGGAACCCGAGGGATCTGTGTGCCGGAGTGCTGCGGGCAGGGGGACCCGGGCACGGCGGTGACACACCTGGTGCAGGTAGATGGCGTGCAGGCTCATCTCGGCAGAGGCCACCTCGGCCAGCAGCGCCGAGCGGCTCAGGCTGCGCAGCCGCGACTCGCTCAGCGCCGGCCTGGGGCACGGAGGGGCGGTGACAGCCCCGCCGCAGCGCCCTCCGAGCTGGGACACCCTGAGTGCCACCCCTTCCCTGCCACCGCATCCCTCCCTGACGCCCCTCCGAGCTGGGACACCCCCGAGTGCCACCGCATCCCTCCGTGTCACCCCCGAGTGCCACCGCATTCCCCCCGTGCCACCGCATCCCCCCGTGCCACCCCTGAGCTGCCCGACAACCCTCCCTGCCACCCCTTCCACTGTGACACCCCTGAGTGCCACCGCATCCCGCCCCTCCCGACCCCCGTCCCACCATGCCAGCCCCCCTCAGTGACACCCCCGACACCCTTCCCAGCCCCGTCCCCCCTCCCCACGCCCCCCATGCCCCTCCCATGTCCCCCTGCGGACGCCCCCCGTGCCGTGTCCCACCTGTCCTCGGGGTGCTCGCCGGGGCTCTCGGGGGCCGCGCAGGTGCCCAGGGGGGTCCGCAGGGACGCCAGCAGGCTGGCGGTGGCGCTGGCCGTGCTGCAGGGCGGCCCGAGGCGCGGGTCCCGGGCCACCAGCCCGCTGGCCGCCAGGACACTGCTGAGCAGCGCCTCGGGCTATGGGGACACCCGTCAGGGACACACAAACACCCCCGGCAGCCCCCCGAGGCACCAGGACACTGCTCACTGCTGCGGGGACACGGTCAGGGACACACAAACACCCCCGGGCGCCCCCACTCACCGCCAGGGCCGACTCCTCGGACAGCAGGGACGCGGGCAGCGGCCCCTCGGGCAGCAGGTGCCGCGGGCCGGGCGCGGTGGCCGCGTCGCGGGTCACCTGCGCCTGCAGGTGGCCGAGGAAGCGGCGGGCGGGCGGCGGCGGCCGCCAGCGGGGGTTGCTCAGCGCGAAGCGCATCAGCGACAGCTCCGTCTTGCCGTGCTCCGCCTGGCGCTCCGGCGGCGCCTCCGTGTGTCCCTCGGACAGCCACCGCGGGTCGCCGTGGTGGCGCACGTCCAGCTGCGCGAAGGAGCAGATGTCGCCCACGCCCGCCACCTCCACCGTGAAGTTGCGGAAGAAGTCCACGATGTCCAGGGCGCGGGGGGGGAAGGCGAAGATGAGGATCAAGGGCGTCACCAGGGGGCTCAGCAGCTCCTCCAGGATGAAAACCTGCGGTGGGGGGCAGCGGGATTGGGGGTGTCCCGCGGCGGAGGGGACAGATTGGGAAGCCCTGGGGCGGGATGGCCGGGGTGGGGGTATCGGGGCAGTAGGTCCTGAGCAGGGCAGTCCTTGGGCTGGGGGGATCTCAGCCTGGGGGATTCCAGAGCAGGAGGCTCCTGGATGGGGGTGCCTCGAGAATGGGGAGTCCTGGTGCAGGAGGGTCCCAGTGTGGGGGATCCAGGGTACGGGACCCTGGCACAGTAAGCTCCTGCTCTGAGGGGTCCTGGGGGGTCCCAGGGCAGGGGATTGGGACAGGGAGTCCCAGGGCAATGGGGTCTTGGAGCACACTGTTGAGGGGTCCAGGCTGGGGATCCAGATGTGGGGCTGGGAAGTCCCAGGAATGGGGGCTCCCAGTCTGTGGGGTGCTAGGGGTGGGGAGCAGGGGCAGAGGGTGGTCCCAGGGGAGCAGGGTCCTGGGGAGGAGGGTCTCGGGCAGTGGGGGCTGCACGCACCGCCTTGTACTGGAAGAGCTGTGCCATCTCTGCTCGTGTCTCGGCACGGCCAGCACGGCCCTGCCAGTGCTCGGGCAGGTAATGAACGTGCGCCAGGACCCGCTGCAGCAGCTGCTCCGGGCACCACACCGCATGCTCGTCCGGGATGAAGGACCTGGGGGGCACAGGCAGGGCCCCACCTCAGCCACCTGCTGCCTACCTGGCCCCCACGGCATGGCACAGGGTCTGCCCCGTCCACCTGGCCACTGTGACCCCAGCATCCACCTGGCCACCGTGATCCCAGCACCCACCCGGCCACCGTGACCCCAATACCCACCTGGCCATGGTGACCCCAGCACCCACCTGTTCACCATGACCCCAACACCCACCAGGCCACCGTGACCCCAACACCCACCTGGCCACCGTGACCCCAGCACCCACCTGGCCACCGTGACCCCAGCACCCACCTGGCCATGGTGACCCCAGCACCCACCTGGCCACGGTGACCACGAGCCCCAGCAGGGTGATGGCCGTGAGGATGTGCTGCACGGTCAGCACGTCCTCGTCGTACACGGTGAGCACGATGAGCACGGCCAGCACGGAGCCGGCGAAGAAGCCGACGTGGCGGGCCAGCACGGCCAGCAGCGGGCTGCTGAACGAGTCCATGTAGCGGGTGGCGGGCGCGTGGCCGCGGCCCAGGCGCGCCCGCAGCTCGTGGCCCAGCTCGTTGAAGTGGCGCAGGTAGTGGCGCGCGTAGAGCGACCAGCGGCGCGCGCCCAGGCTGCCCGGCGCCCGCTTCAGCCCCTCGGCGTAGCTGAAGAAGGCGAGCAGCAGGCGCCAGCCCAGCACGCAGGGGCACAGCGCCAGGTTGGCCACCCCCAGCAGCACGGCCGCCCGCGCCAGCCCCCGCGCCAGCGCCCGCCGCGCGCCCGCCCGCTTCACCTGCGGCCGCAGGCTCCAGGTGTTCTGGAAGAGCGCGGCCGGGCCGCGGAACAGCAGCAGCTCCAGGTTGAACTGCAGCCCGCGCGTCAGGAACACCACGGGGCCCAGCAGCGGCAGGCGGAAGCGCACGGGCAGCAGGGACTTGTTGACCATGGCCACGGTGTAGTTGCGGAAGCGCAGGATGCGGTGGTGGATGTCGAGCTCCGTCAGCTCCCGGCGCGGCACGCACAGGGGCTGGCGCCGCTGCAGGGCCAGCAGCCGGGCCTGCACCGACTGCCAGCTGTGGTTACACAGCTCCTCCTGCGGCAACGGCACGGGCGTGGGCACGGGGCGCCCGCGGCACGGCGCGGCGCTGCTCGGCGCTGGTGTCGCTCGGCACGGCCCCGTGCCCCGCGGCACCTTACGGCCCAGCCTGGATCCCAGCCCCCTCAGTGGCACCTTACGGCCCAGCTCAGACCCCGGTCCCCCCAGTGTCACCTGGCAGCCCACCCCGGACCCCAGCCCTCTCCCAGGGACACCTGACAGCCCAGCCCAGCGCGGCCCCAGCCCAGCCCGGCCCCCTCACCGCGGGGATGCCCAGCGCTCGGATGTAGAAGCTGCGGATCTCCCAGTAGCCCACGAGGCGCCGCAGCGCCGTGACCAGGCGGCACAGCCACACCGCGCCCGCCAGCACCAGCAGGAACAGCAGCCACCCGCTGCCACGGAGCCTGCGGGGACACACGGGTGTTACAGTGCCAGCAAGCCCCCGTGGCCACCTGCCAACCAGTGCCACAGGGCCTGCCAAGGAGACACAGGTGTCACCAGTGCCACCGGCACCCCCCACAGCCACACCGGTGCCAGCAAATCCAGAAGGCACCTGCTGACACAAAACCTGTGGGGACACAAGTGTCAGCAGGGCCACCAAACCCTTCACAGGCAGCAGCCACCCACTGCCATGGAGCCTGCAGAAACACAGGTGTCGCCACTGCCACCAACCGCCTCACTGCCATCTGCAGCCTCAGAGACTCCTGGGGACATGTCACCCACAGCGCCAGGACGCGATGCAGCCACACCAGCGGCACCCTGACCCCGCAAAGCCACGCTGGTGGCACTGGCACCTCTGCACGGGCACGCAGGCAGCGGCTGGCACCGCAGCCACCCACAGCCACCGACCCTTTGGGGACACGCGTGTCACCCCCGCCGCCGGGAGCCCAGGTGTCCCCGGTGTCCCCACCTGCGGGCGCACTGCGGGGCGGGCAGCACGGCGTCGGGCAGCGTCACCTTGGCGCGCTCGGGAACGTGGCTGTGGTTGAGCGGGCGCGTGGCGAACAGCATGTCGTAGTCCACGCAGCACAGCAGGAACGTGCTGAAGGTGACCACGAACAGGAACTGCCTGGGGGCGCGGGGGGTCAGCGGAGCCCGGGGGCACTCACGGCCGCCTGGCACCGCACGGTGACACCGTGGCAGCACTTACACCAGCTCCAGCACGTCCGAGAGCAGCACGCAGGCAAAGCCATTCCTCTGGTGGAACTGGTAGATGTGCGGGGGGGTTAAGGAGGTTATGAAGGGGTGATGGACCCCCCCATGTCCCTCCTCCCACCCCCTGAGTCACCCCATGCTCCCCCCTGTCCCCCACAGTGCCACCAGGGGCTGTGCCAGGATGTCTTGGTGAAGAAACTGTCCAGGTCCTTAATGTGGTGCCACGAGTCTGGGGGGAAAAACACGGGGGGTCAGGTGGGAATGTGGTACCGGCCCCCTCCCCGGGACCCCCGCACCCCACCCAGGACCCAGAAACACCTCCTGCGTCCCCAAACAGCCCACGGGACCCGGAATCCCCGCCAGACGGCACCCCAGTACCTGTCGGTCCTTCGGTGACGTGCAGCAGCAGCTGCTCCTCCTCCTCCTCGCCGGGGGGCGAGTCCTCTTCACAGTCCTCCAGCCGCCGGTACTCCCGGTGGTCCCGGTGCTCCTCTGCGTGCTCCGCCATCACCTGCCGGGGCACGGGAGCGCCTGCCGCCGCCGCGGGGCCGCCGCCGTGGGGCCGGTGAGGCGCGGAGGGGCCGGGGCAGATGTGGGGCACCGGAAATGCCGCCGGGGCGCCGCCCGCATGCCCCGGATTCGGGTGGCCTGAGCTGGCCCCGGCCGCGGGCAGTGACACCGCAGGTGACACCGCAGCTGCCACCGGCCCGTCCTGTCCCACCGGCCGGGCCGGTGCCAGAGCCTGCCGCGACCCCGCGGGGCTCCCCGGGACGGACCCCCTGAAAGGTCCCAGGGACCCCAATACTCCCCCAGCCCTCCCCCGGGCCACGCTGTGCTGCCCAGCCCGAGCGGGGCGGACGCCTCTCCCCACGGACCCCCGTGTCTACAGCCCCCCACAGCCTTCACCCACAGAGCCGCCCTCCCCACGGACTCGTGCGCCCACAGACAGCCCGCAGCCCCCACTAGCACAGACACACCGCCCCCGGAGCCGGGACCAGCTCGGGAGCGGTGCCGAGCCCTGGCGGCCTCTCTGTGCCTTGCGGATCCCGGGGGGGAAGGACTGGAGCCCGCCGCCCCTCTGGGGCAGGGCAGCACCCCGGACCCTGGGGCAGGACTGGAACCCGCGCCCCTTTGGGGCAGGACAGGACCCCCCCCCCGGGGAAGGACTGGAGCCCGCGCCCCTCTGGGGCAGGGCAGGACCCCGGACCCTGGGGCAGGAGGACGCCCCCCCACAGGGGAGGACGGGACCCAAAACTCTTGGAACGGACCCCAAACCCCTGGATGGGACCATCGCCCCCCGGGGAAGGACGGGATCCCCACGCCTGGAGCAGGACGGGACCCCCGTTCACCCCCCCGGTCCCCCCTTACCGCCGCCCGCAGCGCCGCGCGTCACCAGCGTCCCCCGCGGTGGCCGCAGCCGCTGTCCGGCCGGGCCGGTGGCCGCGGGTGACACCGTCCGGCCCCACGTGTCCGGGGCTGACTCACGCGCGGGGCTGATGCAGCGGGAGGGACGCGACCCCGCTTGTGCAACACCCCTGGGGGCAGCGGCCGCGGCCCCCGGGATCGGGTGTCCCGGCGGGTGACGCCGGCACGGCCCGTCCCCGACCCGCTCCGCATCGCGAGGCCAAAAATACCCGCGGAGCCCGAAAATAGCCCCGGAGGGTAAATAGCCCCGGTGGGGGGGCGGGGGATCCCCGGGCCGGGCGGCAGGGACACCCCCGGGGCCAGGGACACAGCCCGGGGGACACGGCGGCACCCGAGGGACACGGCGGCCTCGGCAGTGGCCCCGGTGACCCTGCCGGGACACGCGTGTGTTTCCGCAGCGTCACCTGTGTCACGGGCACACGGACACCTGCCCGTGGGGACAGAGCAGGGTGACACCCCCGAGTGACACGAGCCCCGGTGGTGACACATGGCTGTGCCGTGCGGGGCCCGTCAGTGACCCCGTGTGCCCCGGGAGCACACGTGGGGACACGGCACGGCCGCAGGGGACACACCGGCCCGGTGTCCCCGCGCAGCCCGGCTGGGGGTCCCGGGGCAGCGGCCGGGCTGCGGGAGCCCGGGGAGGAGCGGCGTGACCGCGCTCCGGGCACAGCGGGGCTCGGCCGCCCCGGTACCGCCGCCCGTCGCTGCTCACCTGGCGCTCGGTGCCGGCCCGGTCCCGCCGGTGCCGGGCGCTCAGGCGGCGCCGCGCCCGCCCCGGGCCCCGCCGCCGGCCATGGCCGCACCGTCAGCAGCCCGGGCAGCGGCGGGGTCGGGGGTGCCGGGGCGCGCTCCGAGCTCCGCCGCGGGTTCCGGGGCGGGTCCGGCGGTCCGGGGGCGGCCCCGGGGGGGAGCGGCTGTGCCGGGCCCGGGAATCGGCGGGGTCGGGGCGCGGAGCCCGGGAAGGGCCCGAGGCGGCGGAGCGGGGCCGGGGCGGGTTGGGGCCGGCGCAGGGCCCGGGCCACGGTGTCGGGCTCCGCCCGCCCGGTCCCGCCCCGCGCCCGCCCCGCGCCGCCCGGAGCCGCCCCCGGAGCCGCCCCCGCCCGGAGCCGCCATGCCGCTGCCGGTGCTCTTGCTGCGGGCGGCGGGCGCCTGGACCCGGCTCCGGCCGCTCTCCGTGCCGGGCCGCAGGTACCGGGGGGCGCGGGGCATCCCGGGCGGATCCCGGAGCCTCGGCTCCCTTGGGAACCCCAACTCCGGCTGGGAGCAGCCCCGGCTCGGGGGTCGCGGGGGTCCCGGGGCGCGAGTGGGGCTGCGGGGCAGCCAGGGGTGCCGGGAACTCGCGGGGGTCCCGGACACCCGGATCCCTGCGCGGGGACCGGGGGAGGCCGGGGCTCCCGGGGGGCTGAGGGGTCCGTGGAGCAGCGGGACGGGAACCGGGGCGGGGGCAACGCGTGGGCAGGTATTGGGGTGCCCCGGGCTGCCCTGGGAGGAGGAGCCGCCTCTGGGTGCGGGGCGGGGCGGGGACCTCGCGCTCTGCAGCCTGCGGCGTCCGGGGCTTCCCGGAGTCACGGGAAGGAGGGAGCGCCCCAACTCCTGGCGGGGGATTGCACTGCGGGATCCCGGGCGGTCCTGGGGGGTCCCCGCTCCCCTGGGGGCGGGAACACAACTCCTGAAGGGAAACGTGGGATTCTGAGGTGCCGGGGCTGGTCTCTGCGGGCCCCCCAGGTTCGCTCACCCCTCTCCCCAGTTTCAGGTATGGGGGGCGCCTGGGGCTGGCCGTGCCCCCCCGGCCGCCCCCCGCGCCCCCGGCCCCGCGCTCCCGGCTGCTCCTGGTGGGCTCGGCCTCGGGCTGCGTGCTGCTGGGGCTGCTGCGCACGGCCGCGCGCTGCCAGGAGGCCACCGCTGTCCCCGCTGTCCCTGCTGTCCCCCCTGCCGCTGCCGGGCCGCCTGAGCCCCCCCCGGAGACCCCCTTTGACTGGCCCCTGTTCTGGACCTTCCTGCGCCCGCAGCTCCTGGCGCTCTCCGCCGCTGTCGTGGTGAGCAGGCTGGGTGGGTGGCCATGGGTGCCCTTGTCCCCACTGTCCCCGTGTCACACCTGTGCTGTGGAGTAACACACTGTCCCAGTGCAACAGCGTGATGGCCACAGTCCCTGTTCAGGGTGTGGCATGTCCCCATGGCATGGTGTGGCAGCCACTGTCCTGGTATCTGCTGCTGTGTGACACGTGCTGTCCCAGTGGCACAGTGTGACAGCCACCATCCCAGTGCTGACACAAGATAGCCACTGTCCAGTGCCATGGCATGACCCCTGCTGTCCCAGTGCCACGGTGTGACACCCGCTGTCCCAGTGACACAGTGTGACCCCCACTGTCCCAGTGCCACGGTGTGACACCCGCTGTCCCAGTGCCATGGCATGACACCCGCTGTCCCAGTGCCACGGTGTGATACCCGCTGTCCCAGTGCCATGGCGTGGCGCCCCGTGCTGCTGTCCCGGTGCGGTGACAGCCTTGTCCCTGTCCCTGCGTGTCCCCGCAGCTGGCGCTGGGCGCAGCCCTGCTCAACGTGCGCATCCCGGTGCTGCTGGGCCAGCTGGTGGACGTGGTGGCGCGCTGTGCCCGCGGCCACGTGGCCACCTACCTGCGGGAGGTGCGGCGCCCGGCCCTGCGCCTCCTCGCCGTCTACTGCCTGCAGGTGAGCGCCGACCCCCCCCAAAGGTGGGTGGGGGTCCCGCGGGTGCCTCCGGCCCCGCTGACCCCCCCGTCCCGCAGGGCCTGCTGACCTTCGGGTACATCGCGCTGCTGGCCCGCGTGGGCGAGCGGGTGGCCGGCGACATGCGCAAGGCTCTCTTCAGCGCCCTGCTCAGGTAACCCCGGCACGGGGGGCGCGGGAGAGGGGGTGCCCGGGGCGCCCCACCCACCGCTGCCCCGGCAGGCAGGCAGGAGGTGGCCTTCTTTGACGCCACGCGCACGGGGCAGCTGGTGACACGGCTGACGGCCGACATCCAGGAGTTCAAGTCTTCCTTCAAGCTGGCCGTCTCCCAGGTGAGCCCGGCCTCTCCCAGGTGAGTCCGGCCATGTCCCGGGCCAGCCCGGCGGTGCCCCCAGCCTCTGTGTCCCCAGGGCCTGCGCAGCGGCACGCAGACCGCCGGCTGCTTCGTGTCGCTGTACCTGCTCTCGCCCAAGCTCACGGGGCTGCTGCTGGTGGCGCTGCCGGCGCTCGTGGGCGCCGGTGCCTTCATCGGCGCCTTCCTGCGCGGCCTGTCCCGCCGGGCGCAGGAGCAGGTAACCCTCGCCGAGAGCCCCTGCCCTGCCGGCCCTCGGCGCGGCCGTGGCGCGTCTCTGATGTCCCCGCCGTCCCCGCAGGTGGCCAAGGCCACCGTGGTGGCCGACGAGGCGCTGGGCAACGTGCGGACGGTGCGCGCCTTCGCCATGGAGGAGCAGCAGGCGGGGTAAGGGCGAGGGTGGGCCCTGGGGGGGCGGGCGTGGGGCGGAGGGACCCCGGCCCACCCCTGCCCCAGGCTGTTCCGTGCCGAGGTGGACCGCGCCGGATGTCTGAGCGAGCGGCTGGGACTGGGCATCGCCGCCTTCCAGGGGCTCTCCAACCTGGCGCTCAACGGTCAGTGGGGGTCACGCGGTGCGCCCTGGGGTGGCACTCCCTTGGGCAGGACCTCCTCCGTGCCCCTTCTGCACGTCCCCTTCAAATCCAGCTCTGCCCCCACCCCGCAGGCATCGTCCTGGGAACCATCTTCGTGGGTGGCTCCCTGATGGCTGGAGACCAGCTCTCCCCCGGTGACCTCATGTCCTTCCTGGTGGCCTCGCAGACAGTGCAAAGGTCAGGGCAGGTGCCTGTGGTGCCCCCAGAACCCCTGGCACCCCCTGTACCCCCGCAGCCTGCCTGGGCACAGCCCTGAGCTCAGCCTCTGCCCTTGTGCATCCCAGATCCTTGGCCAGCATCTCCATCCTGATGGGCCAGGTAGGTGGGGTGAGGGGTCCTGGCACCCCCTGAGGCTGGGGATTCAGGTTTGGGGCTCCGGGGCTGCTTTCACCACCCTCCCTGTGGGTGAGGTGGGGTCTGGGGGCCATGGGGTGCTCCTGCTGTCCCGCCACAGGTGGTGCGGGGTCTGAGTGCTGGTGCCCGTGTCCTCGAGCTGCTGAGACTGGAGCCCCTCGTGCCCCTGCAGGGGGGGGGCACCATCCCTGCCCACTCCCTGCTCGGACGCATCTCCTTCAGTCATGTCTCCTTCAGGTGGGTCCCAGCAGGCCCCTGCCTGGCCCCCATGGCTCTGAGCCACCCCATGGATGGGGGAATTGGCACCATGTCCCCATAGCTCTGCAGCCCCCTCGAGCCCCTGCTCCTCTCCCTGCAGTTATCCCACCCGGCCTGGCTACCCTGTCCTGCAGGACTTCAGCCTCACCCTGCCCCCCTGCCAGACCGTGGCCATCGTGGGCCCCTCAGGAGGAGGTACCGGCACCCCCCACCCTCCCTGGGCACCTCCTCCTGCGCCCCAGGGCTCTGCCCAGTGTGTGCCAGGGACTGGAGTCCCCCAGTGCTGCTGGAGCCAGGGCTCCGGAGCAGGGGGGCTCAGGGGTCCCCTCCCCAGGGAAGTCAACGGTGGCAGCGCTGCTGGAGCGGTTCTACGAGCCCACGGCAGGAACCATCACCCTGGACGGGCACGACATCGCCGGCCTGGACCCCTCCTGGCTGCGGGGGCAGGTCATCGGCTTCATCAGCCAGGTGAAGGGGACAGGAGTGCTGCTGGCCGGGGTCCCCTGGCTGCCCAGGGCAGGGGGAGGGAGCTGGGGCCGGCCGGGCTCGGCGCTGAGGGCCGGGTGTGCCGCAGGAGCCGGTGCTGTTCGGCACCACCATCATGGAGAACATCCGCTTCGGGAAGCCGGGAGCCTCCGATGCCGAGGTGTACGAGGCCGCCCGGCTGGCCGACGCCGACGGCTTCATCCGCAGCTTCCCCGAGGGCTACGACACCGTCGTGGGTATGGCCGGGCGGGAGGGCTCAGCCCAGCTGAGGCGGTCCGGGCCCTGCGGGGACACCGGTGCCGGTCACCGCTGAGGTTCCCAGGGAGCCGTGGCCGCGCTGGGCTCTGAGCAGGAGCGATGGCTCCGGGTGGGGGGGGTCCTTGGCCGCGGGCCGGGGCGGCGTCCCCGGGCTCTGCACATTCTGGGGGTGCCCTGGGCTGGCGCAGCACAGCATCCCCACGGTGTGCCCGCGGTGTGCCCGCGGTGCCCCGCAGGCGAGCGCGGCACGGCGCTGTCCGGGGGGCAGAAGCAGCGCATCGCCATCGCCCGGGCGCTGCTCAAGGACCCGGCCGTGCTGATCCTGGACGAGGCCACGAGCGCGCTGGACGCGCAGGCGGAGCGGGCGGTGCAGGCGGCGCTGGAGCGCGCTGCCGCCGGCCGCACCGTGCTGCTCATCGCGCACCGCCTCAGCACCATCCGCGGCGCGCACCTCATCGCCGTGCTGGCCCGCGGCCGCGTGGCCGAGGTGAGGCAGGCGCGGGGCGGGCGCGGCCCCGCGGGTGACGCCCGGGTGCGGCCCGCCGGTGACACCGTCGGCCGTCCCCCTGTCTCCGCAGGCGGGGACCCACGAGGAGCTGCTGCGGCGGGGGGGTCTCTACGCCGAGCTCATCCGACGGCAGACGAAGGAGGGGTCCTGAGGGGTACCCGCGCTGCTCCCCCCCCAATAAAGCGGCGCTGCCGGGCGGACCGGGCTGCGCTCTGTGGCGGGCGTTGCGATGGCTCCTCCGGGCCGCGGGGGGGCGCCCTTGGCTGCGGGCGGGGGCGGGGCGAGTGACGTTGGCTTGTGGGCGTGACCGATGGCGCTGACCCCCCCCCCCGCCGCGCTGCCCCACGGGGCGGGGGTGTCCCCTGTGTCACCCCCTGTGTCACCCCCTGTGTCACCCCCCCGGTGTCACCCCCCCGGTGTCACCCCCTGTGCCACCCCTGCTCGGTGCCAGCCCCTGCCGAGGTGCGGAGCCCTGCCGCGGTGAGCGTTCCCCGTGTGACCCTGGGGTGTCCCGTGTGTCACCGGGCAGTGTGGCACCCCTGTCTCTCCGAGTGAGGAAACGCTGCAAGACCCCCGGGGGCTGGAGGGGTGAACCCCTACGTGACCCCGGGATGGGGGACCCCTGCACCCCCCGGGATGGAGGAGCCCCTGCGTGATTTCTGTCAGGGGGCCCCGATAATACCCCCGGGGCAGGGGGCCTCATGTGTCACCCCTGGGTGACCTCTGGGGTGGGGAGACCCCAGTGTGACCCCCGCTGGAACGAGGGGGTGGCCTGTGTCACCCTCCAGAAGCGGAGGGACCCTGTGTCATTTGCTGGGGTAGGGACCCTCTGTGTGACCCCGGGACGGGGGACCCTGGAATGGGGCTACCCCTCTGTAACGCCACTGGAGGGACTGTCCCCTGTCCCCTGTGCTGCCCCCCAAGGGAGGGGACCCTTGTGTCACCCCCCAGGCGGGGGAGCCCCGGTGTGACCCCCCGGATCAGCCCTGCAGGACTCTCGGGGGGTGGGGGTCCCACGGGTCAGCCTCTGGATGGGAGCCCCCTGTGCCACCCCCGGAGTGGGGGGACCCTGCCACATCCTTCTGGCTCCCCTGCATCCCTGCCGGGGTGGGGGACCCCTGTGTGACCCCGGGGCGGGGGGACCGCGGTGTGACCCGCGGGCCGGGCTCCGCGGGCTGCCCGTGCAGGGGCGCTTTCTGCGCCCCCTCCCGGGGGTCCCGGCCCCCCGTACCCCAAGGCGCGGCCGCCGGCGGGGGCGGCGGGTGGAGCCGCGGGAGGGGCGGGGGCGGCCGCGGCGGGGGACGGCGGGGACCGGCGGCGGCTGCGCCGCGGCGGGAGCGGAGCCGGGGCCGGGAGCGGGGCTGGGGCTGGGACCGGAGCCGGGACAGGGAGGGGACCGAGGCTGGGATCGGGACCGGATCCGGGACCAGGGCTCGAACCGGGACCGGGATCGGAGCCGAGACCGCGGCCGGGGCCGGGGCTGGGAGCGGGACGGGGGCTGCGCTGCGCTGCCCGCGGCTCCGCGGCACCGGCACCGGCACCGGCAGCGTGAGGGACCGGGGGCAGCGCGGCGGCCGCTCCTGCCCCCCCCTCCCCGCCTCCCCATCCCCTGCCCACCCTCCTCCTCCTCCCCCGTCGCCTCCCGCCGGCGGCACCCCGAGCCCGGCGCGGCGATGGGCTGAGGCTGCGGGGCAGCACGGGGCCCCGGCCGCGGCAGGATGAGGAGGGGCTCGGAGGGCAGCGGGGAGGGCGAGGGGCTCTCGAGCCTGCGGGCGTTCGCCCACAGCTCCTCGCTGCACGGCATCAGCCACGTCTTCGCCTACGGGGCCGTGTCCCTGCGCCGCGTGCTCTGGGGCGGCTTCTTCCTGGGCTCGCTGGGGCTGCTGCTGCTCGTGTGCGCCGAGCGCGTCGCCTACTTCCTCACCTACCCGCACGTCACCAAGCTGGACGAGGTGGCCGCCCGCAACCTCACCTTCCCGGCCATCACCATCTGCAACCTCAACGAGTTCCGCTTCTCCAAAATCACCCGCAACGACATGTACCACGTGGGCGAGCTGCTGGCGCTGCTCAACGAGCGCTACGAGATCAGCAACCCGCAGCTGGCCGAGCCCCACGTCCTGGCCGCGCTTCGCGACAAGGCCAACTTCAAGAACTTCAAGGCGAAGCCCTTCAGCATGGCCGAGTTCTACAACCGCACGGGCCACGACCTGGCCGACATGCTGCTGCAGTGCTCCTTCCGCGGCACCGGCTGCACCGCCCGCAACTTCACCGTGGTGAGCGCCCGGGGCCGGGAGGGACCGCGGCGGGCCCGGGGCCGCGGGGGCACCGGGGAGTCCTGCTGGGAGCGGGCGCCGGCGGGCGATGCCCCTCGCTCACCCCGGCCCGCGGCGCTCTCAGCCCTGCCCGCCCCGCCGGGGACGGCGCCCGCGCCGGGATGTGCCCACCCTGGTGCTGCAGGGTGCCAGGCGGCTGCGGGCAGTGCCAGCAGGGAGCGGGGCTGGGCTGGGCACTCTGGGCTGCCCGCGGTCTCTGCTGGCACGCAGGGCTGTGGTGGGCACAGGATGCTCAGGGTTGCGGGGTGCTCACAGGCACAGGATGCTCAGGGTTGCGGGGTGCTCACGGTCACAGGATGCTCAGGGTTGCGGGGTGCTCACGGTCACAGGATGCTCAGGGTTGCGGGATGCCCACAGGCACAGGATGCTCAGGGTTGCGGGGTGCTCACAGGCACAGGGTGCTCACAGCTGTGCTCTCCCGTACGGGGTGTCACATGGACAGGTGCTCACAGGCGCACCCTCACTGCCTGAGCCAGCCTCAGGTGCCACTGGGCAGTGCCAGCAGCAGCCCTGCCCTGACTGTTGGCACAGAGGCTGCCATGGGCAGGGCTCCCATGGGTGCGGGTCCCCGTGCCAGCCCTGCTGGGACCCCGTGCTGCTGCTCCCAGCACCTTCCACCCCTACCCCAGCAGCCCCGTTCCTGCCCCCAGCAGCCCCCAGAACAGCACAGGGACAGTGGCACAGGCAGGGACAGTGGCACAGACAGGACAGGGACAGTGGCACAGGCAGGACAGGGGCAGTGGCACAGGCAGGGTGGACAGGGCAGTGGCACGGGCAGGACAGGCAGGGACATGGGCACAGGCAGTGATGGCGGCATGGGCAGCAGACACTCCCCTCCTGCCACAGCAGCAGCGTGGGCGCTGGGCAGCTCACGTCTGCCATGCCAGCTCTGCCCAGTGCCATCGCTGTCCCCTTAATGCTCTTGGAGCACTAATTAATTCACCACGCAGCTGAGGGATGAGCTGTCCTTTCACAGGTCTGTGCCCCCCCGTGCCCCCCGTGCCCCTCTGTTCCCCCCGTGCCTGTGGCCAGAGCTGCTCCCCCAGTGTCCCCATAGCCCGGCAGGCAGCGGTGACGGCTGGGTTTGAGGGCTGGGACATGGGACAGCAGGGCTGAGGGTCCCCAGGACAGAATTTGGGGTGGGTGGCATGTGCGTGACTAGGCAGCAGGGTCCTGGTTCAGCCCCCCAGAATCCCCAGGCTCAGTCTCAGGGACTGGGATCCCCAGCTTGGGCTCCTGTGCCCCAGGCCACGGCCCTGATCTCTGGCCCCGTGTCCCTGACCTCACCCCAGCCCAGGCCCAGTGTCCCCGAGGTTCCTGGACTCGCGGTGGGGCCCGAGGCCCACGGGGTGAGCTGAGTCCCCTCTCACATCCCCAGGGCTGTTGGATGGGGCAGGGCGGGCTGTGGGGACGGGGGATCCTCGGGGAGCAGGGCTGGGGGTCCCCGGGGCTGGGGGTCCCCGTGTGACCCCGAGCGCAGCGCAGGAGGGCTGGCACTGCCGGGGACGCGTCCCCACGGCCGTCCCCACCCGTGCCCCCCCCAGCATCCCCGTGCCGGGCAGCCGTTGCCATGACACCCGCCCCCCCCTTTCCTCCTTGGGCACCGCATCGCCATGGCAACGGGTCCCCACTTTGGGAGCAGCCGGTTGCCACGGCAACGCCCCCTCCGCTCCCCCCATGGGACATCACCCCGGGTGGGGCAGGGGCTGGGGGCCGTGGGACCGGGCTGGGGCTCGGGGGTCCCGGGGTCCCGGCTGGGGGCTCCATCCCCGGGGACTCAAGGTCACCCCAGGGCTCTGCTGGGGCTGCGGGACCCGGGGGGGCTGCCCAGGACAAGCTCTGGGGTCTGGGGGGACACGGTGGCCTCTGCCGCCGTGACAGAGAGTTCTGGTCTCCATCCCTGCTCTGCCTTGTGCCCTCCCGTCTCGAGTGTCCCCACATGTTCCCTGGAACTGTGACGAAACCCAATATCCCTGCAGAGCCGCAGCAGCACAGGCCGGGCACCATCAACGCCCTCGCCTGCTTCTGGCAGCACTGGCATCCTGTGCTGGGGCACTGGGATCCTGTCCTGGGGCACTGGGACCCCACCCTGGGTCCTGCAGGGCACTGGGACCCTGTCCTGGGGCACTGGGACCCTGTCCTGGGGCACTGGCATCCTGTGCTGGGGCACTGGCATCCTGTCCTGGTCCTGCAGGGCACTGGCATCCTGTCCTGGGTCCTGTGGGGCGCTGGAATCCCCACTCCCATGTCCCCGTGTGTGTCCCCGTGTCCCCACAGGGTCCCCAGAGTGGCAGTGAATGTCCACAGGGGTCCCTGCAGCGGCAGTGACAGTGACAGCCCTGTCCCCATGTCCCCCGTGTGTCCCCCATGTGTCTCCCGTGTGTCCCATGTGTGTCCCATGTGTGTCCCTGCAGATCTTCACCCGCCTGGGCAAGTGCTACACGTTCAACCCGGGCGGGCCGGGCCGGGAGGTGCTGACCACGCTGCAGGGCGGCTCCGGCAACGGCCTGGAGCTCATGCTCAACGTGCAGCAGGAGGAGTACCTGCCCGTCTGGGGGGACACAGGTGAGATACCCTGCCCGTCTGGGGGGACAGAGGGGGGACATGCCCGTCTGGGCAGGCACAGGTGAGCGCGTGTCCATCTTGGGGGACACGGGTGAGATCCCTGCCCCGCACCTGACCCCTGTCCCCTGCTCTGCAGATGAGACCTCGTTTGAGGTGGGGGTGAAGGTGCAGATCCACAGCCAGGACGAGCCTCCCTTCATCGACCAGCTGGGCTTTGGCGTCGCCCCCGGCTTCCAGACCTTCGTCTCTTGCCAGCAGCAGCGGGTATCCGGGCACGGCGCCCGGGGCTGGGCACGCACCCCGAGGGACCGGGATGGGCCCGAGAGACCGGGATGGACCCTCACGGGGCCCAGGATGGGACCCAAAGGGATTGGGATGGGCCCAGAGGGACTGGGATGGACCCTCACGGGGCCGGGGTGGCAGCCAAAGGGACCAGAAGGGACCCCCAGAGGGCTTGGGATGGGACCCAAAGGGACCAGGATGGACCCTCACAGGGCCTGGGTGGGCCCCGAGAGACTGGGATGGACCCCCACAGGACCCAGGATGGGGCCCAAGGGACCAGAACAGACCCTTACTGGGCCTGGGATGGGACCCAAAGGGACCAGAACGGACCCCCAAAGGGTTCAGAATGGCCACAGCCAGCCCGGTGGGGACATTCCAAGCCGCGGGCACCCCAGCCATGCCCATAGGGACCAGCCCTGCCCAGCCCTGCCATGGGTGCCGTGGCACCGCGCAGCACAGCACAGGCTGTGGGGCGGCCCCAGGCGGCAGCGGCTCCGGCAGCGACCCCCGGCTCCGCGGAGCAGCCGCCGGGGGGTGGCGGCACGGCCCCCGCAGCCAGACACCTAAATTTAGGTGCCCGGGGTGGGCGTCACCACGTGTGCCGGCACATGGGCGGCAGGAGCGCGGCGGCAGCAGGAGCGGCCCTGGCGCCCACGGGCGGGGGCGCTGGGCCCGAGCCAGGCACCGTCCCCGCACCGAGGGCAGGGCAGGGGTCCGCGCTGAGCCCCCCGCCCGGCGCGTCCCGCCCCGGCCAGTGCCGCCTGCCGGACCTCGCTGCGGCACCGGTACCGGTGACAGCTGCTGCGAGAGCCATCCCCGTGCCCGACAGGAGGGGACGGGACGGGGCTCGGGGGGGCGGCACCCGCGTTGCGGGGGTGCGGGGTGAGCTCTGCCCGGGGCGGCACCGCCGCGGGCCGGGCACGACAGCGGGGACGGCGGGGCTGGCCCGGGGCCCCAGGACGCCGTGTTTTCCTTAGCGGGTGCCCGGCAGCTGGTGTACCTGCCCCCGCCCTGGGGGGACTGCAAGGCCACCCCCATCGAGTCCGACTTCTTCACCAACTACAGCCTGACGGCGTGCCGCCTGGACTGCGAGACGCGCTACCTGGCCGAGAACTGCAACTGCCGCATGGTGCACATGCCGGGTGAGCGGGGGGCGCCCGGGGGCCGCGGGGCTGCGGCGCCACGGCACCAACCGGGCCCGCCGCCGCCGCCTCCCCGCAGGCAATGCCAACGTCTGCACCCCCGAGCAGTACAAGGAGTGCGCCGACCCCGCGCTGGGTACGTACACCGAGCCCCCGGCGGCCCCGGGCACCCCTGAGCCTCCCCGTGCCCCCATTGCTGTGAGTGCGGCTCCCTGCCCCTGTCCCTGCGCCCCCACCAGTGTGAGGGTGGCTCCGGTGTCCCTGTGCCCCCACCATTGCTGTAAGTGCAGCTCCAGTGTCCCTGTGCCCCCTCCACTGTGAGGGTGGCTCTGGTGTCCCTGTGCCCTCGCTGGGGTTGGGGGTCACTGCTGTCCCCAGATGCACCGGGCCGGGTCCCCTCCCTGTGCCACCGACAGTGCCCATGGCACACTCGTCCCGGGTGGCACACTTGTCCCGGGTGGCACGCTCGTCCCGAGTGGCACACTCGTCCCGGGTGGGGGGACAGCACCCAGCTCTGTCCCCGGAGCATCCCGCACCCCCCCCGCCCCGGGCAGGGGTCTGGGGTCCCGGTGCCACCCGCGCCCCCCCAGACTTCCTGGTGACGAAGGACAGCGAGTACTGCGCGTGCCGCACGCCCTGCGCCATGGTGCGCTACGGCAAGGAGCTCTCCATGGTCAAGATCCCCAGCAAGGCCTCGGCCAAGTACCTGGCCAAGAAGTTCAACAAGACGGAGCAGTACATCGCGTGAGTGACACCGCCACCTCCGCTGCCACTGCCACCGCGCTGCCACCGCGCTGCCACCCGCCGCCTCGCCAGCGCACGGCATGACACAGCCCCGCAGCCCAGCATGACGGTGCCATCACAGGGCACGGTGTGACAGTGTGACATGGCACAGCATGGCCCCGTGACATGAACCAGCAGTGTGACACAGGGGCCCCAGCATCACACACAGCCCAGAGTGACAGTGACAGGGCACACCCACCCAGCACCCCCAGCATGAACTGGGACAGCACGGCAGTGACACAGCAGCACGGCACAGCCACGCACGGCATCCCCATCACACACCAACTGACAGGCCAAAGTGACGTGTGACACGCCGTGGCATGGACTGACAGCATGGCACGGCATGGCACGGCACGGCCTCCCTGTGCAGACATGCCCCAGATACAGGAAACCCACACGGCACGGCCTGGCATGGCCGGTGCACAGCACGGCCTGGCACAGCACAGCCCAGTATGGCTCAGCATGGCCTGGCACACCCTTGTGCCCCCTCTGCCCCGTCCCACGGAACCCCATGGCACAGCACAGCCAGGCACGGCACAGCCCGGCACACCCATGTGCCCCTCTGCCCTGCCCCGCGGTACCCCATGGCACAGCCATAGTACCCCATGGCACAGTGCAGCCCCCAGCCTGGCGCGGCACAGCCCGGCACGGCACAGCCCGGCACCCCTCTACAGCTGACAGTGCCCCCTTGTCCCGTGTCCCCCCAGGGACAACGTGCTGGTCCTGGACATCTTCTTCGAGGCGCTCAACTACGAGATGATCGAGCAGAAGAAGGCGTACGAGGTGGCGGGGCTGCTGGGTGAGGGACAGGGACCCGGGGGTGCCAGGGGGGCACGGGCTGTGCCCTCGCTGACGTCCCCTCCCGCACAGGTGACATCGGGGGGCAGATGGGGCTCTTCATCGGCGCCAGCCTGCTCACCATCCTGGAGATCTTTGATTACCTGTACGAGGTGAGCGCCCCCGGCCCGGCCTCCCCCTGCGCGGGGCTCTGCGGGCCGGGAGCCTGACCCGTGCCCCCCCAGGTGTTCCGGGACAAACTGCTCAGCCTGTACAAGGAGAAGAAGCGGAGCCCGCGGAGCGACGGCGGCACCCTGGTAACCCCCCCGCGCCCCCGCCCCCAGCCCCCCGCCCGGGGGTCGCACCCCATCCTCCCCCCGCTCACCGCTCGCTCTCTCGTCCCTCCGTGCGCCCGTCCAGGAGCACCCGGCGGTCCCGGGCAGCCCCGCGGCCCCGCGCCCACCCAGGTACACGGGGGGGGCACCCGGAGTCACCGGGAGGAGATGGGGGTCCCTGGGGGGGTCCCTGGGAGCTCCCCGGGGCCAGCGCGGGGGTGCGGGGCCATTCCCTGCAGATCCCCCCCATTCCCTGCAGACCCCCCGCATTCTCTGCAGATCCCCCCCATTCCCTGCAGACCCCCCGCATTCCCTGCAGACCCCCCCATTCTCTGCGAACCCCCCATTCCCTGCAGATCCCCCCGCATTCTCTGCAGACCCCCCCATTCCCTGCAGATCCCCCCCATTCCCTGCGAACCCCCCGCATTCCCTGCAGACCCCCCCATTCCCTGCAGACCCCCCCCATTCCCTGCAGACCCCCCCATTCCCTGCAGACATCCCCCATCCTCATCATCCCCACAGCGCCTCGTTCCGGGGTACCCCGACACCCTCGGGCGGGCTGGGGTCCCGCGGGGCGGGAGGGGGTCCCTGTGGGGACACGGGAGGGGCCGGCCCGGCTCCAGGCTGGGACACCCTTTGCGGCGCCCCCTGCCAAAGGGGGGCTCCGGGGGCACACGGGGAGGGGAGGGGGCGCGGGGCAGAGCCCCCAGGGGCAGGGCACGGCGATGGCAGCAGCGCTGACCCCCGCTCCCCGCAGGGCGCCCGGCCCCCCGTGCCCGGCCCCGCGCCCCGTCTCGGCGTCGCCCCGCACCTGCTACCTCGTCACCCGGCTCTAGGGCCCCCCCGCGCCCCCCGCGGAGCCCAGCCCGCCCCCCCGCCGGCCGGGGGGCTGGGGGGACACCCCCGGGCCGCGGGGCGGCCTCCAGGCCTCCCCCGCTCCCTGAGGGGGCGCCGGGGGGCTGGGGGTGAGGGGCCCCCCGGCCCCGCTCCCACCTCCTGCATGCGCTGCCTGTGCCCCCCGCGCTGGACATGCAACCCCTCCCCACCGCCCCCCCAATAAAGAGGTGCCCAAAACCCTGGCTCCAGGCTGCTCGGGGGGACCAGGGGGGCTCAGGGGTCTAGGGTGCTCAGGGGGCCTGGGGTGCTCAGGGGGTCTGGGGGGCTCAGTGGGGCCTGGGGTGCTCAGTGGGGCCTGGGGTGCTCAGGGGGCCTGGGGTGCTCAGAGATGCTGGGGTGCTCAATGGGTCCTGGGGTGCTCAATGGGGTCTGGGGTGCTCAGGGGGCCTGGGGGGCTCAGTGGGGCCTGGGGTGCTCATGGGGGGTCTGGGGTGCTCAGTGGGGCCTGGGGTGCTCAGGGGGCCTGGGGTGCTCAGAGATGCTGGGGTGCTCAATGGGGCCTGGGGTGCTCAGGGGGTCTGGGGTGCTCAGTGGGGCCTGGGGTGCTCAGGGGGGTCTGGGGTGCTCAGAGATGCTGGGGTGCTCAATGGGGCCTGGGGTGCTCAGGGGGCCTGGGGTGCTCAGGGGGTCTGGGGTGCTCAGTGGGGCCTGGGGTGCTCAGGGGGCCTGGGGTGCTCAGAGATCCTGGGGGGCTCAGGGGGTCTGGGGTGCTCAGGGGGCCTGGGGTGCTCAGGGGGCCTGGGGTGCTCAGGGGGGTCTGGGGTGCTCAGAGATGCTGGGGTGCTCAATGGGGCCTGGGGTGCTCAGGGGGCCTGGGGTGCTCAGGGGGTCTGGGGTGCTCAGTGGGGCCTGGGGTGCTCAGGGGGCCTGGGGTGCTCAGAGATCCTGGGGGGCTCAGGGGGTCTGGGGTGCTCAGGGGGCCTGGGGTGCTCAATGGGGCCTGGGGTGCTCAGAGATCCTGGGGTGCTCAGGGGTCTGGGGTGCTCAATGGGGTCTGGGGTGCTCAGGGGTCTGGGGTGCTCAGGGGGCCTGGGGTGCTCAGGGGTCTGGGGTGCTCAATGGGGCCTGGGGTGCTCAATGGGGCCTGGGGTGCTCAGGGGTCTGGGGGCTCCAGGAAGGAGGAGGCAGCACTGGGGGTCCCAGGGCTGGGCTGAGCTGTGGGGGGGTCTGTCCCATGGCAGTGGGGGTCCCCAACACCCAGGAAGGAGGAGGCGGCACGGGGTGGGGGAAGCTCTTTATGGGACACGGCACGCACATCACCCACGCACAGCAGGCCCTGGCGGGGGGCACGCCCCCCAGCAGAGGGGGCTCGGGGGAGTAGGGAGAGGAGAGGGGGCGCGTTCCCCCTGGCGTCCCTGCCCCTGGTCCCGGAGGGTCCTGCCCCTCCACCAGCGCTGTGGCCCCATCTCGGGGGGCTCCCGTGCCCTCGGGGAGCCCCCGGCGAGTCCTGTGTCCCGGGGGAGCCCCAGCCCTCTCATCCCCCCCGCACGGGGGGCCCGGGGGTGGTGCCAGCCCCCTGCAGCCGGGGCAGAACCTAATAAATACTGGGGGGGCTGCAGTCGGGGGGCTGGCACGGGCTGGCACCCCCTCAGGGGGTCCGGGGCCTCGGGGGGCCCTAGGGGGGGCAGAAGTCGGTGAAGTAGGGGTGCTGCAGGGCCTCCTCCGCCGAGATGCGCTGCACCGGATTGCACTTGAGCAGGTTCTGGGGGGCACGGGGGGCTGAGGGGGACGGCACCGAGCCTCCCAGCCCACAGCCCCCCAAGCCAGGCGGGCAGGGGGCTGCGAGGGGGAGGGCAGGGGTGACAGGGACAGGGGGGCAGGGGGGCACAGGGGCTGGGGGGCACAGGGGCTGAGGGGCATAGGCAGGGGCACAGGGGCAGGGGGGCACAGGGCCAGGGGGCACAGGGGCAGGGGGGCACAGGGGCAGGAGGGCAGAGGCAGGGAGGCAGAGGGGCATGGGGACAGGGGGGCACAGGCAGGGGGGCACAGGGGCAGGGGGCACAAGGGCAGGGGGGCACAGGGGCTGGGGGGCACAGGGGCTGGGGGGCACAGGGCCAGGGGGCACAGGGGCAGGGGGGCAGAGGCAGGGAGGCAGAGGGGCATGGGGACAGGGGGGCAGGGGGGCACAGGCAGGGGGGCACAGGGGCTGGGGGGCACAGGGACAGGGGGGCACAGGCGCTGGGGGGCACAGGGACAGAGACACAGGGACAGGGACACAGGGGCTGGGGGGCACAGGGGCTGGGGACACGGGCAGGGGGCACAAGCAAGGGGGCAGGGGGGCACAGGGGCTGGGGGGCACAGGGGCAGGGGGGCACAGGGCCAGGGGGCACAGGGGCTGGGGGGCACAGGGGCAGGGGGGCACAGGGGCAGGGGGCACAGGGGCTGGGGGGCACAGGGGCAGGGGGGCACAGGGCCAGGGGGCACAGGGGCAGGGGGACACGGGTACAGAGCACGGCTCTCACCTGCAGCAGGTCCCGGCCGGTGGCATTCAGCTTGGGCACCACGTTGACCAGGGAGGTGGTAGCTGGGTACATGGGGTAGGGCTGGGGACACACGGATGACCCCCAGCTCCCCCAGACCCCTCATCCCCTCTGACCCCCCAGTCCCCTGCCCTCACCTTGTAGTCCGGCAGCTTGGCCATGGCCGGCCACTGCTCCTCCGTGGGGGTCCCCAGCAGCGTGGGGACAGTCAAGGGCCACCGGGGGACACGCAGCACCTGCCCCTGCCCCCTGCCCAGCCCAGGGGGCTCCCATTCCAGGGGATCCTCATTCTCAGAGCTCTCCATTCCAAGGGGTCCCTACTCTGCAGGGCTCCCCATTCCCAGGGAAGTCTCCATTGCAGGATTTCCCCAATCCCCCATTCTGGGGTCCCTGTTCCAGAGGGGTCAGCATGCCCGGGGGGATCAGCATGCAGGGCTCCCCTTCCCATGGGATTCCCCATTCCCAGGGGCAGTCCCCGTTCCTTTGGGCTCCCCACTCCCAAGGATATCTGAAGATCCTCTTCAGCTGGTCGTCCACGTCGTTGCCCGGGAAGAGGGGCCGCCCGGCGTTGGCCAGCTCTGGGGGGACAGGGATGGTTCCCAGAGGCCCCCGTGGCCCCCCAGGCCCTCTCCAGCCCCCAGGCCCCCCAGTGTACCCGCAAAGATGCACCCAGCTGACCACATGTCGATGGAGGTGGAGTAGAGCTTGGCCCCAAAGAGAACGTCCGGGGGCCGGTACCACAGAGTGACCACCTGGGAGGGACAGGGACGCTGGCACAGGGACAGCCCCGGCGGGCAGGGCAGGGCCAGGAGCCCCAGCCCCAGCCCCAGGAGCCCCAGGAGCCCCAGCCCCAGCAGCCCCAGGGCCCCGCTCACCTCGGCCGAGTAGCAGCGCACAGGGATGCCGAAGGCCCGAGCCAGCCCGAAATCTGCCAGCTTGAGCTCCCCGTTCTGGGGGGACAGAGGGCTCAGCCTGAGGGGCCCCACTGTGTCCCCCAACCCCAGGGACAGCGGCACTGCTGCCTGCCCATCGCTGGGAACATGGCAGAGATTGCAAATGGGGCTGGACAGACACCAGGACAGACGCACAGCCTCCGCTTCCAAGTGTGACACCTGAGCACAGCCCTGCTCCCAGGTGTGAGTGCCCAGGACACACACACAGACAGTCCCCATTCCCAGGTGTGAGTGCCCAGGATAGACAGACAGCCCTGCTCGCAGGTTTGACTGCCCAGGACAGACGGACAGACAGACAGACAGCCAGCCCCCATTTCCAAGTGCCATCCCGGAGCACAGCCCCGCTCGCAGGTGTGAGTGCCCAGGACAGACAGACAACCCCATTCCCAAATGCCACCCCTGCTCCCAGCCCCGCTCGCAGGTGTGAGTGCCCAGCCCGTCACCCCGTGTCCCGCCCGTGTCCCCGCCGTGCCCACCCGGTTGATGAGCAGGTTCTGCGGTTTCAGGTCGCGGTGCAGCACGTTGCGGCTGTGGCAGAAGGCGAGCCCCTTCAGCAGCTGGTACATGAAGGACTGCGGGCACGGGCGGCTCCGTCAGCACCGGGCACCCCCGGGCACACCCGGGCACCCCCCGGGCCCCCGGCACCGCCACACCCACCTTGACGATCTCGGGGTCCAGATCCCCGTTACAGCTGTCAAAGTATTTCTTCAGGTCCTGGGGAGAGCGAGGGGGGCAGCAGGCAGCGGTGACCCTCAGAGACCCCCGGGGTCCCCGTGCCCCTCCCGGAGTCCCGTATCCCCCCAGTCCCCGGTGCCTCCGGTGCTCACCTGGTCGCAAAACTCAAAGACCAGGGTCAGCTTCTTGTCGCTGTGCAGAACGTCATGGAGCCTGCGGGGCAGGGGTCCCTGAGCCCCCAGCGCGCGGGGCACCGGCAGGAGCAGCCCCCGAGCCCAGCCCCCGGTAGTCCCGGTGCCCCCGGTACCTGACAATGTTCTTGTGCTTGAGCTCCTTGAGCAGGCAGATCTCCCGCAGCGCCGAGCTGGGCACCCCCTGCGGGACACGCGGGTTGTGGGAGCCGGGGGTCCCCGGGGATACCGGGGGTACCGGGAGGGTCCCGGCCCCGGCCCCCCCCCACCTCATCATCGTCGTCCAGCCGCACCCGCTTCAGCGCCACGATTTCGTGCGTCTCCCGGTTCTTGGCCTTGAACACGGTCCCATAGGTGCCTGCGGGGACGGAACGGGGTCATGGCCGAGCCCCCGGTACCGGTACCGACACCGCCGCCGGGCCCCGCATGCACCCGCTCCCTCGGTACGGCCCCGGCCCTGCCGCACCTTCGCCGATCTTCTCCAGCTTCTCGTATTTCTGCATCGCGCCGCGATCGGTCCCGGCCCGGCCCGGCCCCGGTACCGGCCCCACCACCGGCCCCCGCCCGCCCGCCCGCCACACCTCCCGGCAGCCCCCGCGCGTCCCGGCCCCGCCACACCTCCCGGCAGCCCCCGCGCGTCCCGGACCTGCCACACCTCCCGGCAGCCCCCGCGCGTCCCTGTCCCGCCACACCTCCCGGCAGCCCCCGCGCGTCCCGGTCCCGCCACACCTCTCGGCAACCCCGCCACACCTCCCGGCAGCCCCCGCGCGGCCCCGCCCCGCCACACCCCCGCGGTGGCCCCGCCCCCGAGCCCCGCCCCTGCCCCGTGGTTCCGGGTTCGATCCCCGGCCCCGCCCGCCGCGTCCCCGCCGGACCCCCCGGCCCCCCGCCCGCCTTCCCCGGGACAGCGCCCCTGCGCGGGCGGCCTGAGGGGATCCCTTGCGGGGACGGTATCCGCTCCCGCTGGGTCGGTGCCGGAAGCGGTGCGGACCCGCCCGGTGCCGCCCCGCCCCGGCGCGCTCCCGCCGTTCCGCCCCGCGGGGACGCGCAGACCCGCCCGGCGCGGCTGGACTGTCCGGTAAGCAGCGGCACCGGCAGCGGGATCGTGAACGGAGGCGGTGAGGCTGGCGGGGCGCAGCACGGCTGGTCCGGTCCCGGTCCCCTCCCAGTGCTCTTACTCTCCCGGTGCCGCCCGTCCCAGTCGGTGCTGTCCCCGCTCCCCGCACGCTGCTCTCACCGAGCCCCCTCCGTTCCGCTCCCTCCGCTCCCTCCTCTCCCGCCCCGCCCGCCCGCGGCAGGCCCGGTCCCGGTCTCGGTCCCGGTCGGGTCCCGCCCCGCCCTGGCAGCCGCAGGTCCCGGCGCGGCCGCGGCTCTGCTTTCCCCGGTTCCTCCCGGGGTCCCAGCCGCGCTGCGGGGGTTCACGGGGCTGTGCCGTGTCCCGGGACCCGGGCTCTCCCGGTACATGCTCCGGTGCCTCGGCTCCTTCGGCTGCAGGTGGAGCGATACCCAGCCCGGGCACTCCCGGACACCCCGGCACCCCCGGCCCCCTCCCGGCCACCCCGGCACCATCCCCCGGCCGGCAGCGGTGCCGCCCGGGACGCTGAGCCCCGGTCCCGCCCCGGAGCTCCGTGCGGGGCGGTCCCGGGGCAGCGGGAGCCCCCTGACCCACGCCTGTCCCTCTCTTGCAGCGAGGCCGCTCCATGCGCTTGCCCCGCGGCGCCTGAGCCCGGCAGCCCTCGGCAGGTGAGTGACCGGGCCGGGACCCGCTCCGTGTCCCCGTCGCACGCCCGGAGCCCCCCGCACCCCCCGCTCCCCGCCTGCGGAGCGCTCCGGGGGTCCCCGGGGCCGGGAAGGGCTCTGGGCCATCCAGCCGCCCCCACCGTCCGACGGGGGCTCCGGGGGGCCCGGGGAGCCGCGCGGTGCCCGCCGAGCGCCGCCGGTGCCGGGGCACTGCCCCTTGCGAAACCGTCCGGGGTTGAGCAACGCCGGGCACGGCTCCAGCCCGGGCTCTCCCACGGAGCGTGGGCTCCCGTGGCCCCGCAGCGCTCCCCGGGGACGGGGCAGCAGCTTTGGGGTGCGCGCAGGTTTGGGGGGCTGCGGTGCCTCTCGCCAGGCGCACGGACCCTTTTGCTCTGCGGCACGGTGTCGGGATTTGGGGTCGCTCCGCAGGGGAATTTCGTTGGCAGCTCGCGGTGCTGCGGGAAGGGCTCCGTGCCTGCCCCGTCCCCGGGCGGAGGGGGCTCTAGCTGGGAACCTGCTGTCGAGCCCTTCGGGGTCGCTGCACCGCTTCAAGCGCTTGCCAAAAAGCCGGGATTTGATCGTTCTAACGATCCGCTGGCACCGGCGGCCGCGCCTCCCCGCCGGCAGCCCTTCCGCCGCTCCTCGGGGAGCACCGTACCTGCCTCGTCACCTGTGCCGGGCGGGCGGCGACACTGCGGGACGCGAGGCTGCGGGAGGGCTCCGAAGCACGGGCTTGGGCACCCTCCCGGCGCCTCCCGTGCCCCGGGCAGGGCCGAGGGTGGCCCGGGTGCCGCCGTGCCTGAGCGCCGTCCCGGGCGGCGGCAGGAGGGGACCGTGGGAGCCGTGTCCCCGCGCCGTCCCCGTTTCAGCCCCCACAGCGGCAGCCTGTCATTAGGCGAGACGGGGCGGCCGCAGGGCCGGGCCGGCTGCCCGAGGGCGCCGCGCTGGGGCATTCCAGGGGCGCCGGGCCAAGGGGGTGGCACTGCCCTCCCCGGGGTGGGACCCTGCGCTCGCCGAGGGGGTCGTGTCCCCCGTGTCCCCAAACACGCCTGGGGCGGGAGCGGGGTCGCCACGGGAGCCGCGGCGGAGGACTTGGCAGCGCTTCAGTGTTTGGATCCGGGCTGCTCCAGGGAACAAAGGCTCGCGCTCCCGCCGCAGCTCCCGCGGCTTGTTTTCCTCCGGAGCCGGTATAAAACTGCGGGCAGCGCTCGGCAGCCCCGGGCACGGCGCCGCTGCCCGCGCTCCTGCTCCGGGCCCGCCTCGCCCCTGCCGGGCCGGGGGTCCCGGTCCCTCCCGCCGGGCAGGACCCCGGCCGGGGCAGCTGCCGGAGCCTCGGCGGAGCGGCTCGCGGGTGATGGGGTGAGTGCGGCCGGCCGGTCCGGGACCGGGGCTGGCACAGCGGCAGCGACCCCTCCGCGGTGGGCTCCGACAGCCGAGGGGGGTGGGCGGCGGCCAGCCCTGCCGCAGGGGACAGAGTGGCTGTCCCTGTGTCCAGACCACCCCTCCACGATCCCGTCCTGCAGGAACCAAGCTGTCAGTGCTGTCAGTGCTGGCAGCTGTGCCTGTCCCCTCCTGGGCTGGGATGGGGACGGTGGCAGGAGGCTCCTGCAGGTCTGGTGCTGTGGGGGCATCCCGGCCGCTCTGAGGTGGCAGAGGGGTGCTGGAGGGTGCCTGGCACATCGGCGACAGTGGCAATGACCGCGGTGGTGGCACCATGTGGGTGCAGAGCTGTGACTCATCTCCAGATCCGGTGGTTTGAGGTCGTGGGCAGGGGTGTGGGCAGGGGGAGGTGAACATTTTTGGTGTTGGTTTCTGGAGTTTCAGCATGGGAAACTCTGCCGGGTGGGAGCCCGGGGTGTCTGGCCAAGCTCTGTCCCGTGGTGACGAGGGGCTGCAGGGTCCCAAGTGCCCCTGTTGGATGGCATCTGGGGGCACACTGGGTGCCAGTGACACCCAGGGCTTTCCCGGGGAAGCCAGGTGAGATGGGGCAGGGAGCAAGGGGCTGCGGGGAGCTGGGGTCCTCCCATCTTTGAGGGTGGCAGAGTGCTGGAGCGCCCACTGGTCCTCCATTTCGGGGTGCAGGGCACTGGGGGTCTCCTGACTTCCCTGTTCCATGGGCACGTCTGCCCAGGGGATGGGCACAGCCTGAGCTGTGCTGGCCTCGCCCCAGCCATTCCTCCTGCCTGGCACATGCCGTGCTGGAGGTGCTGCCAGCCAGGAAGCAACAACAGACACGGTGTGCTGTTCCTTGTCACCAAGGGGGCAGCTGGTGTCACCACCAAGGCTGGGGAACGTGCCACGGGGCTCACCATCAGCCTTGATGCCAACGTGGGCGCAAGAATGGGTGGCACATGTGTGTGCACTGAGCCCAGGCCAGGGATCTGCCCGGTGACACGGTGGTGGCAGGAGATGTTCTGGCAGGAGTCCTGGTGCTGCTGCTAGTGGGGGCACTGGCATGGCAGAGTGGGCAGGAGGACACTTGCTGCCCTGGGGGTCCCCCGCCCCCAGTCTTGTCTCTTCTCATGGGGTCTTGGCTCTGTGCTATGGACGTGGCTGTCCTGGTGTGGATGTGTGCCCTGGCTGCCCAGGCCGTGGGTGCCTCAGTGTGGTTGTGGCTGTCCTGGCTGTGATTGTCCAGGATGTCCTGTTGTGGCTGCCCGGGATGTGATTGTCCCAGTGCAGCTGTGGTTGTCCCGCTGTGGACGGGCTGTCCAGGACATAACTGTGCAGGTGTGGGCAGGTGTATCCCGCTGTGAATGCCAGCACCCTTGTCCCACTTCCCACCGGTGCTGGCGGTGCCGGAGGTGGCTCCCGGCACAGGCTGGGTCCGGGAGCTCCGGGGCGGCCCCGAGGCGGTGTGGGGCCGGGGCCGAGCCCTGTAATCGCCTCAGCAGCTCAGGCAGGCCGGGGCCGGTCCCAGGAATGTGACTCCGGCGGCGCGGGAGCGGCCGTGGCAGCGGCGCTGGGCGCCCGTGGCAGCGGCAGGTCATTCCCAGCGCCCGGAGCGCTCCCGCCCCGCTTATCGCTTATCGGGGCGGCCCGGCCTGCACAAGGGCCCATTGTGCCGCGGGGCGCGGCCGGTGCCGGTGCCAGCACCGACACCGGCACGGTGCCGTCGCCGCCGTGGGCTCGGGTGCGTGTCCTGTCCCCTCTGCCCGGCGGCAGGGCGAGGCGGCGGCGCTGCGGCTGCCGCGTGGTGGCCGTGGGACGGTCCTGGCGTGTCTGCTCTGGACCCGGCCCCCGTGCCAGAGTGCCAGAGCGTCCCGGGAGTGGGGCTGGCCGCAGGGCACCGACCAAGGCTTGTTCTGGCCCCTTTCCACGGGGCTGGCGCGAGCCCTGAGCCGTTCCCGGCCGCCACTCGTCCGTGACTCAGCGATGGAAAGCAGAAGTGTCCCCCTGTCCCCCCCAGCTCTCCATCATCCTTTCCAGCGGGGTCATGCCCCCGGCTCCCGGGAGCCACATGTCCCCAGTGTCACCATCCCGCCGGGCCCGTGCTGTGGCACCTGGGGGCCGGGACCCCCGTTTCGGGCGTTTTGGTGAAAGCGCGACGTTCCCGAGAACAATCCCAGTGTGTTCCCAAACTAATCCCGAGCTGCCCACGAGATTAAGCCCAAAAAGCTGCTTAGTGCCCGCAGCGGCGGCACCGTTCTGTGCGCCCGGCGAGGCGGTGGCCCAGCCGCGGGTCCCCCCGAGGGAGGGTCCCATGCCGAGTTTGGGGGGGTTGAGCGCTGGCGGCGGCTTGGCGGGCGCCCCGGGAGAGCGGCGTGGCAGGGCGGATAATCTGCCTGCTGGAATGTGGATGTGCTGGCTCC